TTCTGAGCTCATTCCCAGAACATAGATGCAGTAAACTAGACATGGCTTCTGAGCTCTTGTCCCCAGAACATAGATGCAATAAACTATCCATGGTTTCTGAGCTCTTGTTCCCAGAACATAGATGCAGTAAACTATCCATGGTTTCTGAGCTCTTGTTCCCAGAACATAGATGCAATAAACTAGACATGCCTTCTGAGCTCATTCCCAGAACATAGATGCAGTAAACTAGACATGGCTTCTGACCTCTTGTTCCCAGAGTATAGATGCATAAACTATCCATGGTTTCTGAGCTCGTTCCCAGAACATAGATGCAGTAAACTAGACATGGCTTCTGAGCTCTTGTTCCCAGAACATAGATGCAGTAAACTAGACATAGCTTCTGACCTCTTGTACCAAGAGCATAGATGCAATAAACTAGACATGGCTTCTGAGCTCTTGTTCCCAGAGTATAGATGCAATAAACTATCCATGGTTTCTGAGCTCGTTCCCAGAACATAGATGCAATAAACTAGACATGGTTTCTGACCTCTTGTACCAAGAGAATAGATGCAATAAACTAGACATGGATTCTGAGCTCTTATTCCCAGAGCATAGATGCAGTAAACTATCCATAGCTTCTGAGCTTTTGTTCACAAAACATAGATGCTGCAAAATGACATGGGGTCTGAACAAGGCTTCACAAAGTACAAATGCCAAAAGCTTGATATGGCTTTTGAAAAATGTCTCCTACCTCTGCCATGGCTGCATCAACAGATTCATATGATTTTGTCTACAAAAGAAACACCTAAACAACCTGACAGATTGTTTGACAGAAGCTGTCAATACCGAGGAACCAAGCACATCACATTCCATACTGCAGGTTCCTGTAATGTTCACAAAGAATACATCACATAGTTGTTTTTCCATGCATACAATGAAAACATGTTGTTATTGCGGCCAACTGGTTTAAATCTAATCATACTGCCTTAATAAAACTACCTCCGGAATAAACTCACAACTACTGCAGAAAACAAGCACATCAACATGATGTAATACAGTACAAATGCCATCTGCAGCAGCTAACGCAGATCATTATAATAAGCATCAAATTGAAACTGATCAAAAGATCTTATCCCTGGAGCCATTTCAGAGATAACACAGAATAAAATATGTAATATACTAATGTGTAATAGTTATGGAATATTCTTACAAATTATAAAATTGAGCCATCACAATGTGAGAACATAAACCATATTGTTGATCTGAAATAAGTTAGGTCATAACTTTTGTCTAACTGAATGTCATTTTATGCCAAGCAGATATTCCTGCTTTTTGCATAACCCTGAACCAAGATTGAATGATAAACCGTTCCAAACACTATAGTGTATTTAGAACGATATTGAGCATGTTGAAAGGACATCAAGAAAGTTTGTCACTGATTTATAGCTCAATCAACTACTAACTTAATGAATATTAAAATTAAAGTGCATAAAACTTAAAAATGATTGTAATAACACTCAAAACAGCAAAACTGTTATAATCATGTGGTTTAATACTACCATAACTGGTAACATATTGTATATTTCATGATACAGGGCTTGTAAATTGTTGTATTATGGGCCAGGTATAGATGCACAACCGTTACTTTGATATCTGAATTAAAATAATTACATTTGCCATGTTTACATTTACAGAAAACAATCTCACCTTCTGCTGACTGTCATTGATTCTGTTTATTAGTTATCTCAGTCTGAGTTAGTTGCACATTCAAAGGGCTGGTTACATCAGTCCAGATTAATAGTGGCATGAAAACATCAAATTTAGGAGGCTGTAATCTAGTATATTCTTGCTAGTAGTGGGGCGGTGGGGTAGCCTAGTGGTTAAAGCGTTGGCTCGTCACGCCGAAGATCCAGGTTCAATTCCCCACATGGGTACAATGTGTAAAGCCCATTTCTGGTGTCCCCCGCCATGATATTGCTGGAATATTGCTAAAAGCAACGTAAAACCATTCTCACTCACTCACTCTTGCTAGCAGTAGTATATCAACGTAGTCTGGGTAGAGTTTATCTTCACAGATAATTTGTGACACATTTCAATTATCATACGAATAACAATGATTACAGAAGTTCTGGAACAGAACAAACAGTATTGCAAATGTATTGGTATGAAAATTATGAAGGTAGCTGTTTTAGAAATGACAACAATGATGAACTGATTATATTTAATATGTTTAATACCATAAATATGAAAACTTAAGTCATATGTACTACTATAATGAATGCTCACTGTGGAATTAAGATCCTATGTAAGTATGGTAAATAACCTCAACATTTGGACCCACTCACTCAAAGTGACTGAGGCAACTGTAGTGCTACAAGTATTAAATATTTAACAGTGCTTTTAACAACACCTTACAACAACTGCAGCACAACAATGTAAGTGGATCAGTAACAGCATACTTGCCCAAGGACAAGTGAACATAATTTTAATTTCCACACTCCTGGAATTAGAAGACGGTTACATAATCACAATGAACATGACTGCAGGCAATCTGTAAAACAGCCATGTTATTACTCATCTATTTGTAGCGGGTTAATATGATGACCACTATGAGTACACAAGGCTGACACAAGACTGATGTTAGTAGCAGGTTTACACAAAGAAATGTAAATAAAATATCTTGACTAGAATCATGTTCATACAGCAAACTGTACACCAATAATCCACATGACTACATTCCCATCAAACCACAGGCAAAGAAGGACCGCCTCCATGGTGTAGTGGTTAGAGCGTCCGCCCTGAGAACGGAAGGTCGCAGGTTCGATCCCCGACCGCGTCATACCAAAAGACGTTAAAATATGGTACTTGTTGGTCCCTGCCTGGCGCTCGACATTAATGGGTACAACAAGGACTGGTTGGCTCGGTGTCAGTATAATGTGTCTGAGTGGGGTATTCCTGCTTTACTGCGGCATGGTATCTCAGTGGGCTAGCACTATAACACCAGCTTCAGTCTGGGCTAGTACAAGCAGCCGCACATACACATACACATGCATGCAAACGTCGTCATATGAGCGAAATATTCTCAAGCACGACGTTAAAACCCAATTTCACCTCACCTCACAGGCAAAGAAATGCATTTCCTGGGTGTGAGTCCTCATTATGTGTGTATACAACAACATGAACAATAATATTGTTCAATCTTTTTCACAGATAATGTCATTTCAACATTAGCAAGATAATAACAAATAGGTTAGTCCCATTCCTTTTCAATGAGGTTGATAATGGGACATTTTTTCAGTTTCTGATTCTCAAAAATAACATTTCTAATCAATCATGCTGTCCATGAAGTATATTCATATGTTTATTTCTCATGTTTGTCCTCTGAAAACAATGCTGAAGCTGTGCAAAAACCCATTTTAACTTCATATGTTTTCGAAATGTCTCATATAGGAACCAGATATTCATTTTGCCTGTGCTGTTGCAATTTTTCAAGTGTGCCACCGGAACTTGTATACTATGAACTTCGGACGCTTAAGAGTAAGCAGTGATATAATGGCACATAACATTTATGACAATAAAAATTGAAAATTGTAACAGAATACAAGCATTAGATATTTACTGAGCATATTAACTACACCTTGATTTTAATTAAGTTGATAAAAGTCTTGATACAGTGAATGGATGTTAGACATGCATGAAATGTAACATTTATCAGCCAAAACAAACTTAGGTTCTTGGTGGGACCTCAGAGAAACAAAACTTTCTCAACGTTAATAGGATACAATCAGTTAGAAATTCATTGTAATTATACAAAATATCAACAAAAAGTCAACAAAAATCACATACAGCACAGTTGCCTCACTGTAAATGTTACATTTTGGGTTACACTTTCTTAGTAAAGTACAAACCCGGGATTTCGAACCAACACTGCTAGGTTCTTTTCAGTTAATTAGCAACCTTCCTATCAAGCCCTTCTCAAGTAGTGTCAAACGACACAGTCCAACCTTGTACATCTGTACACATGGCACATTGATTGATGTACACTCGCATGGTGTCTGGGCTGGTTTGTGGTTTGATGAGACAATTGTGAAATGTAATTAGCAATCACTGTTCATGGAACCATAATTGCTCTATAGTTGATTAGGTATGGACCTGTCAAAGGGGAATAATTTATTGCTTCATCACAGATAGAACATATTGACCCAATTAATGCTTGTTGTAATCTGGCTGACATGGGTTAATGAACAGACATCAATTAATTGTTATACCAAAGTTGATTCATTTCAAACACTATACAGCATTTAACGGCAATTATTTACTATCTTATTGACAGCCTTTGTGAAAAGGAACCAACTCAGCTTCCTACCATGAAACTAAGCAACATAACTGTGTGAGTCTCGAACAACATTCCAGAAATGGAATCAAACCAGGGCCTTCAAGCCTAAGCTCAGATAAATACAATTGACAAGAATAATCACTGATATAAAAAAAATCTTCATGAATGGAAAGAACTAGAATGAAGCTTCATTATATACAATAAAATGTTCGTGACACTGAATCGGACATCACCTCTCACCATACTGTGTATCCACATGCACATAAACTCTACAGGAAATCCATACATAAGTATTTACCACAATAGCAAAGCATTGGATGGGTTAGTAATGTGTTAATCATTAGGTGAATCACCCCCTTATCAACAGACATGTATGCTTGTTTTATTGATGCAATTAAGTTGTCTTAATAATCGTCATTGCAACCTTCTGACAGATTCTGCTCGCTGAATATTTTCTAATATTGTAGCATATCTATGGGAGTCACTTCAAAGAGTAACCGCCGTTGCACCTGTTTAATGTGACCGTCTCTTCGGGTCTGTTTTTAACTGTCTACTGATCAAATATCAAGCATTTGCCAAGACAATCAAATGTCAAATCCATTATAAATCATTCACAATGTATGTCTGATCAGATGTATTTTCACGTAGTCTATTTGAGAAATGTCACATGGTAGAATCAACTTACCCAAATAAATATCAGGAGAGTAAATTGGCTTAGTATCCATAATTAACACAGTTTAGATTATAAATTCACGTCATTTTGCTAAGGTATGTGTCGCATCGCCATAGTACACTTCCGGTCCTGAGATCGAGGCTATAAATTAAGAAGGTTAAGGTCATCAGCATGTAATTAAACAAAGATATTGTTTAATTGAGTATTGTTTTACATATACATACTATTGTATAAGTCATATACATTAAACTGGATTAGCCAAGTTAGCAAAATTTAATAATCATCTAACACGACATGATCGAAGGGTCTTTTAAGGAATACTATTTTCCTAATGTAATGTAATATATGAGCACCATTCAGCCAGTCATCTCCTGTGTAATGTAATATCGAGCATGACAAGTAAGAATACGTTGGTACCACAACAGAGTGTCTTACAAAAACTTGTTTTATTTCGGGTTTCTGCACAAATGGCTGGTTTAGGGACCGTGAGACAGCCTTGGATTGTCAATATTTAGGCGTTTCCATGCAGATCCTAAAGCTCGACGTCCGTTCTCCACAGTATGCGATACGGCTCCGACATAAGCCTTGCTCCAAGACTGTACTAATGATAAATCAATGGGTGTATAGTAATTCTATCCTTATGAAAGGCAAGATATGCGGGCAGTATAAGGGCCCTCTCTTTTAAACGGACAACCTGTTGTTAATACTCTTATAATCTAGAAAGTATTATTTAACCACAACATTATTTCTGAACGATTTTGTAATTCTAGTCAGAGATGTCTCTCAGTTTTTAGCAGCCAAACTCAGCAATATTGCAGACGTGTGACGTCTGTCTGTAAACCAGTCAATCCAGGGATGAACATCATGAGCATGACGTATTCCCTCTCCCACGTTATAGGATGAGCTGGCGTGCATCAACTATATGTCACCTGTTACTCCGTCGCCAACTATAAGCATGGGTTACTGAAAACACTTTTAACGCAGATCTTCACTGTGATGAAGTACAATGATCAAATTTAAAAATAGTTTGCACAACCTATTAACCAAGATTGTAAATGAAGCAAATACCGGGTTCAGGCTAAAACGGAACCACAGCAAAACGGCACCTGGCGAAAACGGCACCATTTGGACATAACGGAACCTCGACTTGGCGAAAACGGCTACAAATCTTATGGCGAAAACGGCACCAACTAAAATCTTATGGGGAAAACTAGTTTGTTATACATCTACTATTATGTCGGAACTATCAAAATTTAAGAACAAGGATGTATTTTTATATTGAAGGATACGATGTGAAAACTACTTTATACGGTAACGGCGCATTGAATAACTCAACTATTAGTGACATTCTGAACTCATTACAACAGTTCATTTCTAAAAGTAACCGCTTCCAGTAATTATCAAATCTACGTATATATTCAATGTAAGGCAAGTTTTATATAACTTGATTTTCTGCGGCTGCTCATTTCGTTGCTAGGCATAACCAACACTAGACCGATGGGTGTTATGACTCTTCAATATATACAATCTATGATCTTTGTGCAGTAATACTTGAATGTATCTACTCTTGTTTGAAGATTGATGTGTTGTGAACTGTCAACATGTACAAGCTTGTAATAGGCATGACATCTGTATAATAATGTATGAATGTTTCTACCTCTTGGTTACCCAGAATGATATGGTGCTATTATGAAAACAAACCACATGAACCCAGGAGCAAACAAGTAATATTACCCATAGCACCGACTTACCTAATTGCTCAAGCTTAGACGATCCGCAATTATACAACCTTGATTGTATGATTTTTGTATAAATTGATTGTAACTAGAACTGTCACCTGTCACTGTGTACGATCTTTGTATAAAATGACTGTACCCACTGATGTGAATAAAAAATGTGGAAAAAAAACACTGTGAAAAACAGGTAGAGTCAGAGGTCAGGCAGTAACGCCGCTTTAAGCAACGAAATTTGAACGGAAACGTACGAAAAAACCCGACGTAGTTTGACCTATGTGTATACAGAGACACGATAACAAATATTCTGCTCACTAAAAGAGCATGCTTATTTGAAGCCACCTTGTTTTTATGGTAAACCTCAAGTGTATTTGTAACATTTTGACACTTGGTCTGTTATATTTGGACCTGATGTATATTACACATACATGCGCCTGCAGTCAAGTTCCCAGCCCATATTGGTGTAAACGTCTTAATAATCAATGGGAAAACCAACAATAGAGATCACAGAATTTCATAACTATATCCATGGCCATTTTCTCTTGTTCTTCCTTCAATCGGAGTATTTCATTTACATGCACTTATTCCTTCCCCCTTACAACCCTTTATTACTGCAATTTTTTCACTTATGTGTATATTACTGTTGTCTAGAAAAATATAGCTTATTTGTTATACATCGTTTGCGATTATATGATCAGTGAAAAATGCGGCAGTATTTTAGTTAATGACATACATTGAAAAGAACACTGCATTCTAAATCAAATTAAATTAAATCATTCATAACAATTATAATGGGAATACAATAGTAGAGTCATTCTATGTAATGATGAATATAGTATGCATTTCTTGTGATTTAATAATTTGATTTTGTGTAATATGACGTTGCTACAATCAGGTGGTCTGATTTAGTACCAGGCGTCGATCGTGAATCTACATTTGAAATGCGTTGTTAGGAAAATACCGTTTGAAGGTTAACATTCGTCCTTCACCTATGACAAACTAATATGGCGGGCACCTGTAGTAAGATTTGTGTTTGTAATTTGAATCGTTTCACATTATGGGAGATCCTGACTTTGAATTCGCTCGCCTGTTGCAAGAACAGTTCGACAGAGAAGCGGCTAATAACATTGTCTCACCACCATCTTCAGCGAGGGTGCCGGTTTCCTCTAAATCACCATTATCAATTGTTGACGCAAGTTGGGAGCTGACAGATCCCAACCCAGACATCAGAGCCTTGTTTCTTCAGTACAACGATCGATTTTTCTGGGGGAAATTAGCCGGAATTGAGGTCAAATGGAGTCCAAGAATGACTTTGTATGTAAGAATTGAGAACACATCAGGTTTCATTTGCAGATATCAACTATGATAGTGAATTTGTATAAATATTAGATGATTTGTAATCCTCTACCAGAGACCACACCCCGATATCTGTATACGTGTAAAGTGTCTGCTTTAAAATACCATTCACACGAGGTACTGGTCTGTACATCATCCTGCTGATGATATTTTACACACAGTCACAAACAAAGTCGTATAGTCACAAATTGCGTCCAGTTACCATGGGTGCAACTAACTGTCTCTGTGGTGATTACTCTCACTACAATTCTGGACATATTTATTGAAACGTTTCCTACATGTAAAAGTAGCCACATTGAGATAGAAAACCCACACTTGCTATAGCATTAAATGTGATCTGTGCAGAGAGGGAAATGATATTGTTCAGGGACTTTGACTAGCATAGGTGTAGTGTAATAGACATAGTTTACTTTGAGATTTCTAGGAATTACATAACTTTCTGGTTGTTTTTCAGATGTGCTGGATTGTGTGTGTATGAAAGACGAGGAGGGCTGTGTTCTGTTCGATTGAGTTTGCCACTATTGAAACTGAGACCTAGGAAAGACCTTGTTGAAACATTACTGGTAGGCAGTGATACTCATTTCTGTTTTAGATACAACCATATTAAATGTACCATTTCATGAATTATAACATAGCTTTATTGCAAGTATAAGATACTAAGCAAATGTTTTTTTTCCAATGTTGTAACACTACACATTCATGACATATATCATTGTTGTCATTATTTCAGCATGAGATGATTCATGCGTATCTGTTCATCACCAACAACGACAGGGTAAGACTTCAAGGGTATTATATGAAACTATAACAACTTGCAAGGTAAAAATAATATTACAGAACTGTGAAAAGTGAACAGGTTATTGTTATGATTGTCATTACTTCATCCTGCTCATCATCCATAGCATGGATGTTGTTTTCCAAAATAGCTTTTTTTTCTTATTCACCTTGTATTTAATTTGTATCGAGTGGTGCACTTGTTATTTCAAGTTTCCACAAAGACCTTGTAAACTTATCAGTTGCTTTGAAAAGACCTTCAATTTGGAATAGCATGGTCAACTCTGCTGTTAAATAAATGTGTTACATGCTACACAATTCCCTAGTCTTGTACTGATGTAGGAGAAGATTATTTCACAGTTCATTTGATCATAATACTGATACATGTATATACATGTAAGGACCACATTGTCTTAGGAAGTACCAGTAGAGCTATTCTGACTCAGAAATATGGTAAAACTGTCCGGAAGAGTTTGTCTGAAAGCAAAATATTGCATTCTTGTAGTCGTGTTAGATGCTATGATCTCAGTAAGGACTCATGTTTCAAACCTGTAAAAAGTTTATTGATATGTCCTATTGAACTGAAAATGATAAATCACAAATTAGGATGAATATGATTATAACTGTCATAGTTGATATTTAGGCTACAACTGTTTATTTCTTGTTTTATATTTTCTTTTGGAGTACACAGTATTGAGCATATCAGAAGAGGATTTCGAGAAAGATATATAAAAGATAATCACTGACTCCCCAGTTGGAGAGCTAGATTTTCTCATCAATATGTTTTCATGTTTGAAGAATTTCTCTTGTATGTATTATCAGGATCATGATGGCCATGGCCCTGAGTTCCAGAAACACATGAACAGAATCAACAAGGAAACGGGGACGAGTATCTCAGTAAGTTGGTGTCATAACTGAATCTTGTTTTGAAAGTTGCTGACACTTATACATGAAGTTGATCGAAAAAAATCGCTTATTAATTTTTACATTTAAAGTTTCTTGTAAATGGCAATATAAATAATATTAGACAGCTCTTCATAGTTTCTAGTACTGCAATGATTAAGCCGCTACATGAGTGTGCCCCAAACAGACATATCACACTAATAAGAGCTATTAGAATATCTTCTAAAAGACTGGGAAACAGGTTAAGTATTTGGGGGTTGTTGGTTGTTGTATTTTTCAGTTTGGCCATAGCTTGTGGACCATAGTTTTAATCCGGCCAGTGTATCATGAAAATGATGTAACCAGTTTAATGTAATCATTCACTAGCTCTTGTGACTGGTTCTTCAACAAAATAATTTTGTTGACAGATCTATCACACCTTCCATGATGAAGTAGCAGAGTATAAGAAGCACTGGTGGCGATGTGACGGGCCTTGTCAGAACAGACGTCCATACTTTGGCTTTGTGAAGCGTGCTATGAACCGAGCACCCTCGTCCAATGACCCCTGGTGGGGGGACCATCAGAGGACATGCGGGGGAACATACATCAAGGTGAAGGAACCAGAGGGGTATGGGCAGAAGAAGGGCAAGAAGGAAAAAGAAAGCAAGAAAGAAACCGTCATTCCTGGTGAGCGGGGTACAATGAATGGTACAATAATGTAATTATGGTAATTGGGATGTATATATCTGTAGGGATATATATAAGTGTTGTGTTTTATCTTTTTCGAAAGGGTACTTGCTTCGCTCTTTTTAAGCTAGCAGTTTACATTGAAGTGCCCCTTTTTTCTTATTGCTTTATAAATATTTAATATATTTTGTTTAGTTTCTTGCCCTTTACTATAATACACTTGCAAACCACACAAGCAGGGGGGCATCAATCACCTTGAGACACTCTATATTTAAGGTAGGATTAAGTATACTGCTCAAAAATAAATCTGTTAGGGACCAGCCAGTTCATGTTATAGTAATATGAAAGAATTGTCTAGTCAAAGCGATATGTTCTTTCTCTCCTCTTCAGAAGATTTGATTACTCACTTCAGTTTGAGAAGCACATTGATTACTCATGAGTTTGTTCAAAATTCCTCTGGGTACCCGGTGGAAAAGTTTGCAACTGATCTCTTCTTTGTCTGTTCCTTGATTGAAGCGCTATGAATACCTGAAAATTATTATCTCTTCTTTTGTCTAGATAAGAAAAATGTCAAGAGTCCTGATATCAGAAGTTTCTGGGGTCAAGGTCAGGTGACTGGGTCCAAGGTCACGTCTGTGAAAAAGCCTCCCTCCAGTACAGTGACATCTTCCAGTCAGTTCTCTTCCAATGATGATCCACAGCTTCCTAGTCTTCCATCCAGTTTTGGAAGTATGAAGTCATCAGGAGAGACAAATCCAAACAAAAGCAAAAGTTCTAATGTCTTCACAGATACCAATGGTGCTGGTTCACTAAGTAACAGATCAAGTTCTGTGGACATGCCATCCAGGGAACCAAAGCCAGTCGAGGAAAAAGAAGAAGAATTATTTGAAAGAGATGTGTCACAAAGGGTTAAACAAAATCCTGTTCTTGGTAATTCCAGAATACCAAGTCGAACAACAGGAGTTCTGGTAAAAACTATTTGGGACCAAACCACAAGCCCTAACCCAAATAAGAAGCCTAGCTCAACTTCTGATGGGGGGCCTCAAATATGTGATATCAATTCTGTTGGCACTAATAGTATGTCAGACAGTGTTAAATTCTCAGGTCAAGGTCATGTCCTTGGCAGTTCACAAGGTCAAGGAACTAGTTTTCTTGCACAACTTAGACGGAATATGAACAAATCAGACAAACTTACCAACTATTCACCCAAAACTGACTCGAGTATGAATAAAAATATATCTCTCAGTCCCCAAAAAATCAGGGAAGTGCAAGCAAATCACCTGGTTATCACAAAGTTAGTCCTGTCAAGTCTATCAAAGAATGGTTTGGATCTGAAAATAAAACAATCTCTCCCAACTCTCCAAAACAAGGCAGCTCCACAAAGAAGGTAAATTCGAACGGTTCCCCTTCAAAAAGTCTAGAGGTTAAAGAAACCTCATCTATTATTCTAGGTAATCAAAATTCACCAGACAATAACAGAAAAAACAAAACAGTGTCTGTTTCAGATGACAATGATGTTTCAAGCCCAGTAAAATCACTATTCAAAAAGGTTAATCCTGCTTCAAATTTCACTTCTCCACCCTATAGAAGAATATCTTTGTACAACACTTCTCCAACCAAAGCCAGTCACAGTCAAAATGACCTTCACTTTGATGTGGGGAATATTCAGTCTTCCCATAATGAACACATAGCAAGGTCAAATAAAGCTGTTACTGGCTCCAAGAGAAAACAACCCTCCAGTTCCAATGATGTTTCAAGGAAAAGTGAAAAAAGTGATGCTATGAGGTCATGGACAAGAAGACCACACTACTCATCATCTGACGACAGTGACATTGAAGAAATTTTACCACCAACAAAGAAAAGTAAGGTTGAGAACCATAACAGTGGTGGTTCTTACCAGGTGAAGAATGTGGACAAATTCAATAAAGGCAAGCACAAAGGTGGTTCTGCAAGTGCTGGAAAGTCTGTAGGAAAGAAAAAGTCTGAGAATGCTATAGATCAAGGTGGCTTCAGTAGTTATAGAGATGAGAGAGACAGCCAAGCTTCAAGTGGTGGAGGACATGGTCAAAGGGGAGATAACTTTAGCAGCACAAATACACAAGATCCACGGCAGTGTTGTCCAGTGTGCCAAACACAGGTCCTTGCCTCACAGATAAATGCACACCTAGATCAGTGCCTTACATTTGCCTGATTCATCCGAAATATATGCAAAACCTTTTCAGGAGAATCTTGGTGTGTTTCATTCTCATTGCATATTTTGTCATCATAAGCACAGGCAGCAGATTTGGATGTTAATATATAATTTAAAGAATAGCATTTTAGAAGTTGGGAAGTACAATATTGACAAACGTTATGGATAACAACATGTGAATGCTTCTTTGACATTCTTGACTAAACTTGGGAGACAGCTGATTTTTCATGAATGGTTGCGGAGGAGGACTTTTGTACCATCTGAGTTTTGACAGATCATGGTCATATAGATCTATATTATGCAATATGTGTTCAGAGATAATGTATTGTCTCAAATGATTGTACACATTTGTATTTATCATGAGATTCTGTGTTAGTGTTCTTAATGTGGATCTGATGAAGGCTTACATTTTCTGTGAGGAAAGGGAATCTGTGCAATGGATATGTAACACATATTTAATGTTAATCTCAGATATCATACAAATAATTTACATCTATTATTTCATTAATTAGCCTAACTACATCATATTAATACATTGTGATGTAGTCCATTGTTTATTACATCATAGGCATTTAAGAACAATAGATAAAGGTGTTTATTGTATGATGGATAGTTTTCTGCATTGATCACGATATTTATGTAAATGAACTCATGTTGCAGGTCAGTACATCCCTGTCGTTCTTATTTGCTAGAAACCAAAGTGAACATGGCTGCCAAACATGTCTCTATAATCATGATAATAAATAGGGGTTCAACTCTCGCATTGTATTTGTATACAGATTTAAATGTACTGAAGTGATAATAAGAAGTTATTACCCATTGTGTATTCCATGTCATATGTTTCAGTATATGTTTGGAATATGTAATGTGATATAATGCTTACCAAATTAATAATGGTACATTGAGAGTGAATATATGTCCACAATATGAAAATACAGTGAAAGGTGCAATGTATATGAAATGTATGCTGCTGTTAACAGAAAGGCGATATCCATACATTCATACAGGGCCCATTCATTGAAGGCACCCCATTGGGCTGTGTAGGTTTGTATCCTTTTGTTCGGCATGCCAGAACCTTAGACTGCAGGTTCATATCAGGGTTTGCCTCCATTAACAGCACCACACCTGTGATCATAGGTTTTAGTCTTCCCTTCCACATGAAGCCAGAACTCCTGCAATAACTGGAATACTGTTTAAAGGGTGTTAAAACCACCTTAGTAAATTTGATTCAAACCAATTTCTGCTCCACTGGAGACAGAATTTTGGGAGTCCTAGGATCCCTTCTGTTTCAGTTGGAAAATATGTACTTTTTCCTAGACCATTACATGGCTCTAATGAGTACCATACAAGGTACACAGCTCGTGCAGTGTGTCTCAACTCTCATGACTTGATACAAACACATGCTGCAATACTATCTGCAAGAAGATGTGGGACACAAACAAAGGAAATGCTTTTTGTATGGTCGATTACTTCAGGTTAACTTGTGAGTTTTGTTACAAATTACTGAGTGATCACAGGTACTGATTTCTCTGTGATGCACTTCCACCGTCCGAGGCTGTATCGACCTGCTGGTTATGTCCAAGATTCAACTTACTCAGGTGCAAAAACACCATACTTGTGATGTCGATTATGTCTTCAAGCTACATTTCGCCAGTCTTACTTCCCACCTTGAGCCAACAGGCTGTGATACTACATTAAAACTAACTAGACTGCAGTAAACCTTTGGTTCAGCAGTGAAATGTGGACATATTGCAATGGTACTATACTGTTCCAGAACATGACATGTTACTATATTATACAGTGTGTATCGGTATTTAGCATTGGCTGTGTATAAACATGTATTATGGGAAATGCATCTCCATGTTGAAATTAAATGGCTGTGAAAGTACTGCTTCTGATGTTTTCTGTCATTAAATGTTTACTTTTTCTGTCATCTTTGTTGCAACTTCCCCCTTTGTGGCAGAACTTGTCCTCAGAAACCTATGCTGGTCTGGAGGAAGGCCATTACATGGCTAAGATACTGTTCAGAGGTAGTCAGAGAGTTAGGTCATCATATATAATGCTTCAGAGGTACTATATAGCTAAGATACTGTTCAGGGAGGTAGGTCAGTATATAGCTAAGATACTGTTCAGGGAGGTAGGTCAGTATATAGCTAAGATACTGTTCAGGGAGGTAGGTCAGTATATAGCTAAGATACTGTTCAGGGAGGTGGGTCAGTATATAGCTAAGATACTGTTCAGGGAGGTAGGTCAGTATATAGCTAAGTCAGGGAGGTAGGTATATATAGCTAAGATACTGTTCAGGGAGGTGGATCAGTATATAGCTAAGATACTGTTCAGGAAGAGGTAGGTCAGTATATAGCTAAGATACTGTTCAGGGAGGTAGGTCAGTATATAGCTAAGATACTGTTCAGAGAGGTAGGTCAGTATATAGCTAAGATACTGTTCAGATAGGTAGGTCAGTATATAGCTAAGATACTGTTCAGGGAGGTAGGTCAGTATATAGCTAAGATACTGTTCAGGAGAGGTAGGTCAGTATATAGCTAAGATACTGTTCAGGGAGGTATCAGTATATAGCTAAGATACTGTTCAGGAAGGTAGGTCAGTATATAGCTAAGATACTGTAGCTAAGATAGGTTCAGGTCAGTATATAGCTAAGATACTGTTCAGGGAGGTAGGTCAGTATATAGCTAAGATACTGTTCAGGGAGGTAGGTCAGTATATAGCTAAGATACTGTTCAGGGAGGTAGGTCAGTATATAGCTAAGATACTGTTCAGGGAGGTAGGTCAGTATATAGCTAAGATACTGTTCAGAGAGGTAGGTCAGTATATAGCTAAGATACTGTTCAGGGAGGTAGGTCAGTATATAGCTAAGATACTGTTCAGGGGTAGGTCAGTATATAGCTAAGATACTGTTCAGGGAGGTAGGTCAGTATATAGCTAAGATACTGTTCAGGAGAGGGTAGGTCAGTATATAGCTAAGATACTGTTCAGGGAGAGTAGGTCAGTATATAGCTAAGATACTGTTCAGAGAGGTAGGTCAGTATATAGCTAAGATACTGTTCAGGGAGGTAGGTCAGTATATAGCTAGGATACTGTTCAGTATAGGGAGGTAGGTCAGTATATAGCTAAGATACTGTTCAGGGAGGTAGGTCAGTATATAGCTAAGATACTGTTCAGGGAGGTAGGTCAGTATATAGCTAAGATACTGTTCAGGAGGTAGGTCAGTATATAGCTAAGATACTGTTCAGGGAGGTAGGTCAGTATATAGCTAAGATACTGTTCAGGGAGGTAGGTCAGTATATAGCTAAGATACTGTTCAGGAGAGGTAGGTCAGTATATAGCTAAGATACTGTTCAGGAGTAGGTAGGTCAGTATATAGCTAAGATACTGTTCAGGAGAGGTAGGTCAGTATATAGCTAAGATACTGTTCAGGGAGGTAGGTCAGTATATAGCTAAGATACTGTTCAGGGAGGTAGGTCAGTATATAGCTAAGATACTGTTCAGGAGGTAGGTCAGTATATAGCTAAGATACTGTTCAGGGAGGTAGGTCAGTATATAGCTAAGATACTACTGTTCAGAGAGGTAGGTCAGTATATAGCTAAGATACTGTTCAGGAGGTAGGTCAGTATATAGCTAAGATACTGTTCAGGGAGGTAGTGTCAGTATATAGCTAAGATACTGTTCAGAGAGGTAGGTCAGTATATAGCTAAGATACTGTTCAGGGAGGTAGGTCAGTATATAGCTAAGATACTGTTCAGAGAGGTAGGTCAGTATATAGCTAAGATACTGTTCAGGGAGGTAGGTCAGTATATAGCTAAGATACTGTTCAGGGAGGTAGGTCAGTATATAGCTAAGATACTGTTCAGGGAGGTAGGTCATGATGTAACTCACTCATCCTGGATTATATTAATCATTGTAGTTCCCAACTTCAGTGATAAGTGGGTCCACCACTCTCATTGTTTACCCAGTTGTTTCCTGGATATAAAAGATGGGGTTGTGATATTGTATCAGCAGTCTTACATCACCAGGATCAGGTGTAGATTAACTTTGTCTACGTCAGCACTGCCTGGACGGAGATCAAGATAAGGCAGTGTATTTAATGACAGGTGGCATAAAGCTGTAAGTAATTACCCACATTTGTAAACAAACAACAATATCAATTTATTCATCAGCTCAACTGATATGTTGAAACCCGGGGGCAGTTATGGTCTTAGTGTGGATAGATGACAAAAAATGAGGCTCCTTAGAGAATGGTCTCTTTGAGGGGTAAAAGTGCCGAAACGTGTCAGGAAGGGGAAATGAAAAAGGATTCTTATTTAAATATGTCTGTTGTTTTTTAAATCAAAAGTTTTAATTCAGAGACCCTGTTAAGGAGAAGAAACCTATGTCCAGTTAAATAGGCTTCTATTCAATAAAATGTGACAATATCATGTAGATTTATATAGAGTTATGTATTGTTTAGGTTGAACATTTAGACAGATTATACTGATGAAAAAGATTTTTTTGAGTATTGCAATACATAACATATATCTCCGAGTTTTCTTTATAACACACACAAAACCTTTCCATCACACATTCCTACCACACATAATTGACAGATGGGAAGAAATATATTAGTGATGAAGTTACCTTAGATAATATTTGAATATTAATAATGACTGCACTTCATAGGTCTCCAACTGGAAAACAGTTCAAGCATTTAGGTAGGATCCATGTTAAATATCAGTCATGGTTGATCATTAACATCTTATTGAAAACCTTGAAAGCATGAAAGTTTACCCACCAAATATTTTCTAATAACATTCAGTTGAGTCTAGTTTGTAATACCTTTACCCACTTCTTGATGTAGATATATTTCTTTTAGACCATGTAATACTTTTGGGACTTAAGAAGCATAATAGCCACTTGGTTTTAGCTGCAAAAATCTATATTTATATCTTGAGTATCAATGGCTTTGGAAACATTTTTGTAAATTATCACTGATATTAAAGTTGAAA